CAACAAGCAAAATGAGCATGCAAGTACATAGGCTCTAAACATTTACAAAAAAAAAAATAAAATAAAACATCCAAGACAAACATAATGCTAAGGGGCTAGAATAATATCATTTAAATCGCGACGGTACATAGAAATTGATGCAGATATATCAAGGTGGGGTGGAGCGAAGGTATTATATAATGACTGAATCCGTAAGAGAGGTGAGGTGTCACACGGCGAGCGAATATAAAAACAAAGTGTCTAGTTACTCGGAATGGAATATGAAAGTTCACTTTTGCAAGGAGTTGAGCCGAATCAACAGCACCATTCGCAACCTTGTGCAGAAAAATTAAATCACGAACAGTCCTCCTTTTAGACAATAGAGAAAGAGATAACATTTTCATTATATATTCATACCTATAATAAAAGCGCCGCTCAAAGTATCTATCATAAACGATCCGGACAAGTCTTTTCTGAACATTTTCTATGCTCATAGCCTGTGTGTTAGAAATCGGGTTTCATACGACAGAAGCAAACTCCAGTCGTGACATCAATAAAGAGTTAAAAAGGTTAACCATTGAATGAGGGTTTCTAAAATTACGCGTCAAACGAGAAATTACCCCTAACGCTCTAAAAGCATTGCCCACGATCAATGGCACATGATTTCTAAAAGATAAAGCACTGTCAAAACACACACCAAGGTCCTTTAAGATTGATACACGCTGTATACGCGATCCATCGAGATAATAAGTAGACTCAAAAACAGAATGCCTACGGCAAAAAGAAATCACTTTTGTTTTTTGGGGGTTTAACAGCAGTTGATTATTTTTACACCACTGAAGAACGCTGGTAACGTCACCTTGCAGGACATCGCAATCTTTAAGACTATTAATGCTTTTGAACAACTTAAGGTCATCAGCAAAAAGAAGTAGTTCGGAACTGTTTACGCAAGACATAATATCATTTATGAAGATCAAGAACAAAAGAGGGCCCAGTATTGATCCCTGGAGAACTCCGGACGATGAAAAACAAATTTTCAGAGAAACAGTCACCAATCCGAACAGAGTTTGGGCTCCCCGCAAATGATGCGGGGAGCAGCATGCCCACGCAGGAGGCGGTTAAATCAGGTGTGACAAACGACATGATAAATGTATGACATATACGCTTTCAACATGTAATGTCGTCAAGTAATTCTACTGTTCAATTGTGTTGGCAAAGAACGATTTCTCAAAAATAGTTTAATTCTGGTAAAATATGGTCGAATTAATTTAGAGTGATTTACTCTTGTTCGACCGCGAGCAGCGGGAAATATGTCAAGAATGACAATTGTCACGAATGAAAATTGATGAGGCGACAATAACTGAAGAAACAAAACGTGTAATGGCGTTTAATAAAGAAAGCAGAGCGTCGCGGGCGTCGTAGTCGGCGTGACAGCACAGTTGAACACTGAGGCGAAACCTGACTGCGGCTTGCCACGCGGAGCCTTTTCTGTACACGCGTAGGCTTTTGGAACATTCGACGTAGGAGGTTCGGTGCGGAAAACATTCTAACCTCGAATCAGCCAAGACGGTTCTCGAATTTACCAGAACATTACAGCGTCAACCCAAAAGCATAGACGCGGCCAGAAATCGAACCCCGGCTTTCTGCGTGGAATACAAGCGCGATAACCGTTATGCCACGGGCGCGCTGTCTACGTAGTTAGCTGCGCCCGGGGCAATATGTTGCAATAGATAAGCCAGATCTATTGTGAACGATAATGCCCACCAAAAAGTAACCCTCGAGCTGGTTTTACCAAAATTGGGGAAAACTGAAAAATCTCGAGTAGGAACTGTTCTTGGTTAGTGGAAACCTAAGGTTCACGAAAATATTTTATGTACAGCTTTATTTTGTGTTGTCCTCCCTTCCACATACATACATGCACAAAAGTAGACAAACACACTCACGGGCACACGAACTGTCCGCGAGCCTGCTTCTTTATTCGTGAACCCATTTTGTATCTGGTTTAGTTCTCGATCAAATACTTATATCACGACTACGTTCCCTGGAAGTATGGGAATGTCCCAGAACCCTGTCCTGATTTTTTTTCAGTATAAACTTTGATAAACGTCAATATGTGTACTACCCCTATCGAAAATTCCATCAAGCTACGTAATTTGGGACACTGACTGCCAGTCAGCATCCTTGGTGGAACGTGATGGACCATCAGACGTCATCTGATGGTCCATCAGATGACGTCTGACTGCCACTGCCAAGGGAATTTCATCATCAAGGGCAGCATTTATATAAGAGTAAAGCTATACGCACTCATAAATATCGCCAAATGCCTCGATAAAACAAAATGTTCGAGAAAAAGAAAAAAAATAGCAGGACCACCGCGGATCGAACCCGCGACAGCTTGCGTATAAATCGAACACCTTAACCGCGACGCTACGCCACCGCTGCTGAAACTCGATTTGACTATTCGTTTTATACGAGATGCTTCGGCTGCAAATGCAGTTAAGCCGTCAGCATGTTATGAAAGCACTCGTACATCACTCGCCGTACTTCAGTTCTACTCACCTGCCATGTAGAGTACTTTCGCGTCGTAGAATGATCCTTTTGTTCGCGCGTCATCGGCCCAGTAGACCTGGTACACCTTGTCGTCTTCAACTACACCGCTAAACTCCCTTACATCGTCGGAACTCACAACAGGCTGGGTCTTGTCGAGTAGAAATTCTACTAAAACATAAGACATTGTAGAGCCCGGGCAGGATCGACAGGTTGGAGCAAGCGGGCAAATAAAACGAGTCGAGAGCGATCGTTCATGAAAGCTCGGCGAAGCCTCTATGGGCGAAGCGAAGTGCAAAGTGTCGTGTTCGACACTTCGGCGGCTTCGGCGGGCTTCTGATCAAGGTTGTCGGTCGGTTGCGTGTCACATCTCTAACGTTAGCGGTTTTATGGGCTCACGTCCCGAAATCGTTTTCTCGTGCATAGATTACTTTTCGTATTCATTGATTTGACGAAATAGTGGTATCCGAACGAACTTTACGTCCTTTGACGGTACTTCTGTCTGCACGTCAAAGCTTTCTGACGTACAGTCAGAGACAATCGATGTACAGTCAGAATCACCACCAGGACATCCTGATGGCATTTCGCGGTGGCCGACTGCCACCATGATACCATCAGAAAGCCGACAAGCGGGGTCTGACTGGAGTTTGACTGTTGGTCAGAGTAACTTGTTGGCCAATCAGACATGCTTGACGTACAGTCAGGCACAGTCAGCGGTCCACTAGAAAACATTGACTGGCAAACAGCGTTACATTGATGGATTTTTCCTTCGGGACACAAAAAGTGGACAGCGAAAAATACCACAAACAAAACACCGAACTCCCGAATTCGAGGAAGATTAAATCCCGAAAACACGGATCCCTTTCCGTAACCTAAAAAAGAAGGATTTTTTTTTTTTAAATTTAATTACAGCGATAGCTGGTTGTGAGACATTTCGCGGTTCAGCGCCTTCGACCGCGCTCCATATCGACGCGGATCATTTTCGACATGATAATGTCGAAAATGACAAGATGACAAAATAACAATCAAGCTAGATAACATGCATGGTCACTAAAACAAACCCCACCGTGCGATCTGGCAGTGCAGGTGCCCATGGGACCCAAAATTAGCTTAAGCAGCAATTCTCGGGAAATACGCAGATAAAACTTCAGAATTTCCCGATGCATTCTTTATCAAAAAGCAAGAGAAAACTAGCGCGTTAGTTTCCCGTCAGAGTACCTGAGCGGTTCAGTTTTATTTTCTAATCGAATAGCCAGAAATATGATAGTAATAGTGTGTTTGTTTTACTACCTTCATTTTAGGGTGCACTTCGTCTTGTGCACATCCTTGTCCCTGTTCATTCGGCGTTTTTCGTTTAGCTTGTGTGTCTATTTGTACGGAATTGACGTACGGAAACACGCTTCCCTCTTACGCAGAGAGCTGAAATACTCTCTACTTAATACACCTTCATGGGCTCCAAAACGCTATAGAATTTCCGTCCGGGGTGTTACTCGGTTTAATACGAAACGCATATGCGGACTCTTTGGTGCGCGCTCGCACATTCACCGTCCGTTTGGTCCATCTTCTCCGAAATGACACGTTATCGGCTCCAACGCCGCACCTCAGCTATCGCTGTGTTGCGCCTTACGGGTTCCGTAAGTGTTTACATTATTTTTTTCGCCGTGTAATGGCAGAACTCGTAAATATATTTATGAAAAAAGAAAACTGCCCGAATTAATCTGATAAGCGTTGGAAGCACAAAGCGTGTCGTGCACACATTATGCGAGCGTTACGGCTTGCCGTACTTTGTATGTGTGTGTTCCAACTCAGTTGTAGTCGGAAGCACTCACCAGGAAACGTTTCTTCTGTAACCTCTCGTACGACTTCATTTCTAAAACGTTCTTAATGAAAGTGATATTGCGTTCGTTCAATTGTGTGAAAACATTGCGCATTGTTTTGTAATTTTAGTTGGAATTTGTTAATTTGAAGTTACACTGCCAGATTCATGAAATAGGTATACGGCATGATCCTGAGGACGCCTCGTAAGTAGAAATGACGCGTTAGTGTGACTATGCATACAATAAGCTTCAAATCTTTCAAGTTATTTGTGACACATCTTTTATACAGACAATAGAAACTTTTTCAAAGTACGTCAAACAGCATCGATGGTCGCCATTTCTTCTGCATTGAGGTTATGATTGGGTCCGAGTCCTTACCGAACGGCTACGCAGCCCTCGTGTCCAGTCTATGCCCTGAGTGCAATTTAGCAAGCAATGGCGTATAGGCGATGAAGCGCACTTTTGAAAAGGGTCTATTGTTTGAAGCAAGAAGCGCGTATGTCCGACACTTCGTGTATTTTAATATTTGATTCCGGACACTGGTTAATTCATTCTACGCTTTCCTTGTATCAATATTTAACACAGTGACATCGGAAAAATACTCGCTAGATTATGGACAGCTGTTTTACAATTATACGTCTTTTTCTTTTATTTCAGTATCTGCGAATGCGATTCGGGAACAAAGTCGGTATCACAGCTTGCTCCTTGTATTTCATCCTCAACGTAAGTAGTTCTGAAACAGTCGTAGATTCCTTAGTAATTTTATCGAAACGCCATTTTACAGCATAAAGGAAAAAAGCGATTTGTGATTTCACTACCTTCATAAAGTTTCCGTGGGAACTCATTGGTGTTTTTTAGGCCCATCGGCGTGCCGTTGGGCGCGGCTTCAAAAGTTAATAAAACCGGTTCGCTTCATTAAGCAGTTGATGCTTTCGCTTGAATCCATTTTTATACATAAAAGACTTCGTACGCTGCCGTGGCGGCGGCAGCTAATGCAACCAAAATATTCACCGCGAAAAGCATGCCGGGAGCGCTAGGTGCTTATCATCGTTGGCGCGCACCTTGTCATCCGCCACGTCGTTTTGACACTTTTGTGGTTTTCTTCTTGAAACAATCGTCAAAATTACATGCTAAATGACAAGGCGCACGCGAAAAGTGGTAAGGCGTACGTGATGGTTTTTCTGTCGACGGACATAAAAAAAACGACCTACAAGTCATATGCCGCTTAGCTGCAAACAAATTGAACCTAATAATAAAAACAAAAGCACGTGCTGGTGGTATTTTTCTTACAAAAAAAATAATTAGATCCCTTTTCATGGCAAACGCCGTCAGGTTGGTGCTCCAGTCGTTGACATCCCAGGAAACTTGTGGTTCACAAAAAAAATGAACAAATCCCATCTTAACATCGCTGGTTGAAATGTCGATGAAACATTTTACCACCAAGTCTCCAGGTGAACGCAAAAAGAACGAAGTATTAGATCAGTTAAAAATTTTCAAGTAATCTTTTAAATAAACTTGTCTCCTCCAAAACGTTAAAGGAACCATGGAATGACTTTTCAAGTTCTTCCCCTTAGCTTTCCTCCTCAACTCTAAAACGAAACGATAAATCACGCGGCCGTGAAGTGCTTGGGCACCGGAGGCGATGAGTCCAAGCTTCCACCGTGTTTTTTAAGCCTACTATGGACCTTGTCGGTCGCAAGTGATGGCAAGTGCCGTCACGGCACTCAATGGCCACGAACGCGATTTCAAATATTCGTCAACGGATTGACCGTTGACGAGCGTATACGTCCCTGTGACGCAGTGCTCGTGTCTAACGCGGCTCTATCACTCGGCTGGGAGAACTTCCATTTCCGATAGAGAGGCATACTTTACGTAACGGTCACGTGATTTCACATGTTGGTGGGTAAATCCGGTTGTGTCGAGGAGAAAAGCAGACGTGAGCTTTCATGATTTTTTGTGCAAAACGGGGGGCAATAAAACGAATACGTATTTGTGCTCTGGGTTCTACGTACTATCGAGGGAAAATGAAATGCGAACAGAGGAGCGCGTGGCTCGCGGTACAGGCTGCGTCGCCTGGTAGTGAGACTACGTGCGATGGTGCGTGGTCTACTCCGATGTGTTTACACCCTTCGCTCGGCGCTCCCCAAGCTTCGACGGTGCGCCTCTTAGTGCGCTGAAAGCTATCACCGCTATCTTTGCTCGCTCGGCTCGTGCGGCGCGAGGAAGCTCGCCGCTATATAGCAGCTAAAGCGCGCGCTGGCTGAGCGCGCGCTTTAGCTGCTACTATACTCTGTTTCACCTTATGATGTAACTCAGGAAAGGCTACAAGCGCGAGCTCCCTGCTCTGGCGGCACAAGCTCTCGTGCGTTAAGAGTAGCTCCCAACGCTATGAGCTCGTGCTTCTAGCGTTGTCTGTGGTACAACATAAGGTGAAACGGAGTATAGCGACGAGCATCCTCGCGCCGCACGCGCCGAGCGAGCAAAGATAGCAGCGATAGCTTTGACCGCACTAAAGCCTGGTTTACAAAGACCCGTTTTCTTACGTTACGTTATGTTACGTGACAAAAAGGTTACGGGAAATCTGTGCTTCGTATTAAGCGTGGCTAACAATTGAAAGATAGCCTGGCATGCGACATTCCCGACACGAATGTTTCGGTGACTTAAGGGAAACTCCGCTTCATTCTCGGTTGCTACCAAACACTGCGACTCTCTTTAGTGTCATCTAGAGAGACCGAATGTCAAATATTATAACGTAATACCGCCTAAAAGATCACTAAACAGGCTGACAAAAACTGAGACGCGCGAAGTCACCAAAATCCGCTAATTTAGCGGGCGACGTGCGGCGCAGCCAACGTTGTATTTCCGTTGTGGCTGACGTCTGTTGCATACGCAGTTTTTTTCTTGGTATTTTTTTTTCCAGGGAGAGCTAACCGGGCGGCGCTACGGACGCGCTCCACGTTTGAGCAAGCAAAGAGGCGAGCCTACTACAATAGAGACCAATGGGCGAGACAGGCACAAAAAAAAAAAAAAAAATGAACGAGAACAAGAGAAACAAAAAGAGGAAGAAAGAGTTGTACGGGGATGAGTTTCGCTGACACACCTGCCAACCGGTGCCAACCGACTAGCCGCCTGGGTTGCCGCCTACATAGCCTGCTTCGTTGCTGCTTGCGTTGCCTGTTCGCCGCCGCGGCTAGGCCTGCCCTCCCTCCTCCCTCCTCGCCCTTCCCCTCGCATCCGCGTCTTTCTTGGGTTACCGCTAGTAGATCACGTGACCCCTTGTATTCCACGTGGGTACGTATGCAACTGACGTTGAGAGTACAATGTTGCCCGGCTGTGCCGAAGTTTCAGTTTCGGTTTGCGATTGTGGTAAATAACAAGATCGCTCGAAAAATATTTTGCTTTTAATGAGACAAACGGTCTAGGGTTGTTTTGAAGTACTTTTCACGTTTATATCACCCACTATCTCGAAATTTCCGAAATCAAGCGGAGTTGCCCTTTAAGGTACGTTTATACTCAAACGTAACGTCGACGGGCGCGGCGTACCGCCGCGCGCACGGATACTGATTCGTCGCAGATATCGAGTTCCTGGTTGCCGGCCAATGAAAGGCGCACGTTCTGCGCTACGCTGCGTTCACTGCGTTCAACGTCGGAGTATAAACCGCCATTTAGACATAACGTAAGAAAACGGTGCTCTGTGAAAAGTTGAACCGAGCTCAAGTCCTTATGTTACGTTACAACGAGCCTTGTGTCCCTGGTTACTACGGTAACTCACCGTCCTAGCTCGTCGTCACCGGAACATTTGCGTTTATAATGTCGCGTGCCAGGCAACCTCCTTGAATCGGTAGGCACGCTTAATACGAAGCACAGATTCCCCGGTGACGGTTTGTAACGTAACGAAACAAACCGAGTCTGTGTCAACAAGTCTCAGGAGGCTCAATGCCGAAGCTTGGGGAGCGCCGACCAAAGGGCTTAAACACATCAGAGTAGTCCACCACACCCTCGCCTCTAGATTCACTTCCAGGCAGCGCAGCCTGTATTGCGAGTCTCGGGCTCCTTTGTTCGCATTTCATTTTCGCCCGATAGTACATTCAAAGATTAATTGCAGTCTTCATTCGTAAAAAGCTGGAAAATAATTTCATGATCCCTTCAAATTGTCGAGCACTCGTTAAATATCAAACTTTGTTGTCCGTTGAGCATGTATGCTTTCTAGCACTGCTGCACTGGTGACGTAAGCAAGCCCGACGGGCTTGCGAAGACGGAGCGACCGGAAGTCGCTTGGGACGCAAGCGGCGGTTTATGTTTGTAAACAGCAAAAGGGTCCATTTTCGTCGAGAAACTCGCGAGGGGCGCTTTGTTTTCCTCAGTTTTAGAGTGCCTTCATACACACGCGCGCTTTGAGTGCTGACATCTCAGTCATTTTTCTGCCCAATCGCTTTTTTATGCATTTTGAAGTGCGCGCGATCCGGTGTCACGCAGCTCGAGCGCGTAGCTTTGGCTAATGCATAGACGCCATTTTACCACCCAAGTCACGCACCGAGTGCGCGAGAGCGTCACGCGCTGGCACATTCAGGACAACAATGGATGTCGTCACCCTGAGACAGACAGACGTGTAGGCACCCTACTCACATTGAGTAGTGCACGAGCTACCCAAGCGGCAGCGTTTTAATCTTCATAGTGCACAGAAGCTCGGCACTGCGTGCGCTTGCACAAGCAAAAGATGTCGAAGTATCCTCACTCTGTGTTGGGATACCCAAACATCTCGCCGCGAATACGCTCGTACATATTGCATACAGATTCAGTAAATACCCGAGTTTTGCGAAAATGGCACAAAACAATGTTCATATTGGCGACGTGCGTGACCAAAAAATGTCGCTGTAATCACCTTTCTATGATTGATCTAACACCCGCTAGGACGTCTTGGGTAGGATTACTTTTTCCGCTCATCGACGGAACTAAGCCCAAGGTCGGACCTTTTGACGGTGTTGAGTACCGTCAGAAAGTCCGACCTGACGGTGTTGAGTACGCAACCTAATGAGTACGCAACGTAATGATTCCAGGCTTCCGTTGCGCTTTTTATGCACCACCAAACCTGTCGTTCGCTACTAAGAGTCTTGGTCGTGACGTCAGGCATGCGAAGCATAAAAGGGCGCCACCGTTACATATCATCGACATATTCCGCGCAATGTCTACTGGACTTTATTTTTTCTTTTACAAGCAATTTTGTTTTTTATTGTTCCATTTAACCCCGTGCTACCGAGCAGGGATAAGCATTTAGTGCAACCAATAGGTAGCTTCTTCGCCCGGCAAGTAATGCTATAAAACCCTTAATAATCGCGAGCTCCTAATTTTCGCGAATTGCACAAATTAAAAATTTCGTGCAATTTAAGGGCGCGCGAAAATTTCGGACCTTAAGAGTTTCAATGCAGGCGTCTGGATTTCGGGAAAGTTAGTGGGCACAATTAAGTCCTCTGACATTGATTCGCGAAAAGTAGAGGCCGCACAAATAAAGGGTTGTACATTGGGTCTTAAAGCCTGTTCACAAATACAGCGGCGCGGTAAGTTAGTGCTACGTGAGCGCTCCAATGAGCACTCATGTGGCGCTTCTTAGAACGTGACTTCGTTCTAATATAGCGCGGGATTAGCGCTTTTGTAGCGCCTTGTTAGCGCTCCAATTGGGTTGTGTGGTATGTTTATACAGCCTAGAACTTGGTCTGCCTCACTGG